AATTATAACGGTTCCTGCAGAAGCTAGCACTGTTTTCTATGTTGGTCCCTCTTCTGATCCACAATCCATCAATTTTACTTTTGTGACCCTCATTACAGCATATAGCAAGATCAACAGGTGGTATGGCATGGAGTTCCAGCTTTGTTATGATCAGGGTGGGATCGACTCTCTTCACCAGACTTCTTTCATGGAAAATTTACATTACTCTGACAAACTATTCAGGGATGCCAGCTATTCAGTATCCTATTTTCATTAAATTTCTGACTAGCTAATTTTATGGTGCTATGTTCATGTATTTTAGGTTAAAAAAAAACTTGGTGAAATTGGTACCAACCCTTTCCACTTTTAAACAAATACAAATAACATGTAAGAACTTTATAAAGCTAGTAATTATCAGTAGTAGCTATAAATGAATAAATGTTGTTGAAGTGTCCTTTAATGGCTTCCATACACTTTTAAAGGTCATAATTAAATAGACTTCATTTTCAGCTCAAGACCAAAGATACAAAAGTGGAGGTCTATGTTTTCTCTGCTAAAGCTACTACACCTTTTCCTGCAACTCCCCCATCAACACTTGATACCTTAATACTATAAATTTCTCTAGGAATAGTCCCCCAAAGGTAGCTTTGTCTAGTTCTAAATAATTCACCTTCCCATAAGATGCCACCACACCAGGTTGGGTTTAGCAAGACTGTGGCTTGAGGACAGTCAGGGTTAGTGCTAGGAGATATTCTCAGGACTGGGGTACCTGGCTCAGCTGGTAAGATTACTTGCCTAGCAAGTAGGAGTTCAAACCTGAGTGGCACACTGATATGGAGACACACAAGCACTTGTACACAGGCGCACACACACACACCAGTACCACCACCACCACAACGAATGTAAACATACACTGACCTTGACCACAACTTGAGAAATCTCTGGTGACTGGACAAATCCTTCTCCATACTTTCTAGAACTCATGACCTCACAAGTTGTCTTCAGCTAAAATTCCCTCTCTCTTCACTCTCGCAAAAGGATGTTACCTCCTTCTTGCTCTAGCCAAAACCTGGGTTGTGCCTGACTACTTGATGGAGAGAACAACAGCACCTGTAACATTCCTTAAAGTCTTGAGAGGACGAGGACGGCTAAGTGTCCTGTTGTGCTCAACACTACTTTAAGATCATTCTTTCTTTCTTCCTTCAAAAAGTAAAACCTTATTTGCTTGAAGCATTTATCATGAGACTGTATGCCCAGCAATGAAAGGTTGTTGCATTCACCCACAGGACCTCTTACTCAGTGCCTCTTCCCTATGACTGTTCATGCTTGGTGTCTGGTTCATCCTGGTTCACCCTGTCACCTGCCACCTCCCATGATCTTGTTCTTCAGCTCTCCTCAGCCAACTAGATCAGACACAGTCATTCTTCTGCCTCATTACAAGTAATAAAATTTTAACCCCAGTGTCCACTCTCCAGTTTCTTACTTCTCCAGGTACCTACCTGCAGTAATTCCCCACCTCATTAGGTTCTTTCCTTCACTGATCTCATCACTTACTCACTGCATTTGGCTCCCTCCCGCTGCAAACTGCACAGCTGGCCATCATATATGTTCTCTCACACAACCTTCAATCACCCCTTCCTCCTTCCCTTCTTTTCCCCTCGCTTCTACACTTAATCGGAAAAATGCAATCTAGTTATCTTTCTATCCATGCTGCATTAGAGCTAGAGAAAGATACATACACCCATGCTGGCTGGTCTCTCTTCAAACTGGTAACCACTTACACCTGTTAAGTGGGTAGCCTCCCACCCCCATCTCAACCCATCCATGTTGCCCTGCTTAATTCACTCATCCTCACTTCTGAAATATCTGTTCTACAGTTTCTTTTCCCTCCTCAATTTTCCACAGTCCTTCTCCCACCTCAAGCTCAGCCAATGACCTTTCTATAGTGCTCTGGAACACGGAAACAACTTTGATCCTCTTATTTTCCAAAGACCATTTCTTCTGAATCATTGCCTTTCTTACTTTACTGGCTTTTCCCCTTTCTGCCAGGTTGTTCTCATCATTTTTCAAATATACTGGTAGTTATTTCCATATTTTTTAAGGTCCCTTGGCTTGACAGTCTTCTGAAGCAAACACTTTATTTTTTTGGGTCTATTTTATCACAAAACATCTCAAAAGAGTTTTCCTATTTCTATTAATTGCCTATCAATCATTCATTCTACTATTTCCAGTCAGAAACTCTAGGACTGTCTTTGTTTTCATCCCTCTCTTATCTTCTAGCAGATATTGTCAATACTTCCATCAAATTGGCATGCAACCCTCTTACCTCAATATCTCTCCTGCTTCCATTCTGGTTGACACTATAAATAGCTCTCCAACAACCTCCTGGCTGCAGTATCTCCCTCGGCTAATCCACTGGGCACCGCTCCCCCAGCCCCAAGCCTGGTCTGCCTAACATTGATTTCACCATGCTCTGATTCTCTCTGCTCAAAAATCTGAAATTATTTCTTATAGCTCCTATTACCTACCAGGCTTCAGAAACTTATTGCACAATATAATTGCTTACTGTCATCTTTATTTCCTATTACCTACCAACATAAAACCCTGCTCTTTTAGATCAGCTTTCCAAGTATCGTATACATATTACACATACATCATGCAAATTCACATTTCCACATCTGATTCTTTGTCCACATTGCTCATATTATCCAAACACTAAATTGTTCAGGCTCTGTCTTCCAAAATACCTGATCATACAATTCAGGTTAACAATGAAGCTTCTATAGTATTCCAACCACTAGATATGCCATTGCTATTAATAACTTAATTATTCATAAGTATGACATAAGTTATTCTTTCTATTTATAATGTATGTTAGGGCTGGGAAGGTGGCTCAGTGGTAGAGTGCTTGCCTTATATGCCTGAAGCCCTGGGTTCGATTCCTCAGCACTACATAAGCAAAAAGAAAAAAAAAAGCTGGAAGTGGCGCTGTGGCTCAAGTGGTAGAGCACTAGCCTTGAGCTGAAGAGCTGAGGGACAGCGCCCAGGCCCAGAGTTCAGGCCCCACGACCGAATCCCTTCCCCCCCCAAAAAAATGTATATTAGAATGTAGGTAGGATTTTTCCTTCAAAACTATTTCTCAGAAAAAGGGACTCCCCAAATCCTGAATTCTTACCAAATTACCATAATGCACAATGTCTTATTTTGAAGAATAGAGCATTTCACCTTAAATGACCTCAACCAATTTTACTTTTAAATTATAGAGGTCATCTGTGAAAAATGCATAAAAAATTTAAAAAAAACAAAGAAGATTAGATGCAGTAAGATATCACAAACAGAATCACTTTTTTTTAAAAAAATCAATAAAGTTCATCTTTATGTTGCAAAGATCAAAAAGATGCTAATGCTACTGTCCAACTTTTACGTGAATAGGAACTATGTTTGGAGACATCACTTCCTGTGCATCATACTTAAGGCATGCCACATCTTAACAGCTTAGATGACTGTGAAAAGGGTCTGCTCAGGAGCATGGTGTTAAGTGGCCGCAAAGATACTTAAATGAAAACAGTAACAGCCAAAGCAAGTATGAGGCACTGGAGATACTTGAACAAAATGCAGTGAAATGTGAGAATGGCAAAAAGCAACAATTCTTCACTGCTATATTATTTCATAGAAAGTAACAAAAATATGTATGCAGAGGTAAATTAACCATTTAAATAGTCATGTGACCACATCATCCATATCCCAGCTCCTATAGTAAAGTTGGCAAAATATGCTTGGAGAATGAGAAGCGAGCAAAGGGCAGCTGAAGGATAGAACAGCATTAGGTACCGAGTGCTTTGGCTTAGAACCATGGTGCGACTATGAGAGTCTGCCATAGTCAAGGCTTGCAATTTATCCATTGTGTGGGAGTTCAGTTTCCCAGTGTTTAAATTCAAGGACTGTATTATCTGTTGCTAAGACTTTTCACCTTTCAAGTTTTAGTTCTATTGTAGCAAACTGTAAAACAGCTCATATCACCAGGCTTCATTTAGCTCTTTACCTCTTAATCATTCAGCAGCATTGGTAAATACAAAGAATGAGGTTATTTGAAAGGTTACTGTAAACTTCTTATTTTTATTACCATTTAATAGAACTTATAAATAATACATATTCACAAACATCAGTCCTTCTCAACTGCCCTATCAGCTTGACTTGTACCTTGTCAGTTCTTAGTATTCTAAACCATATTACCAACCTTTCCATCTTAGAATGCCATTATTATAGAGGTAAAAAAAAATATATATATATATATTTAAGAATATTTCATCAGTACTCTATTTCCCCATTCTCTAAGAAGAAAGTGGGGCTAATGCTGCTGTGGAACATGGCTTGATACCCAAGTCCAGGACATCTGCCTTGTTAATATTGGTTCTAAGCCACAGTAACGAGCTGTAGTTATTCTACTTGGACTTACTATGGCTATGAGGCATATTTCAAAGTTCTCAACCTGTTTTCAGGTTGCAATTTTCCTAATATTTTACCATAATTTCAGAATGCTTCCTAGAGATGAAGTGGCTCATGACTCATCTACATCTATGTGATTCCTGTCTCTGACAAAATCAGCCTAAGTCTTCAATATAAATGCACTCTTCTCTTGAGTCTTCAAAAGAGCCTCTCAATTTCGCCAGATGAGCAGTCTTTCTAATTAGCAAAATCCTCAAAGAGCATCAGCCTACGGTCAATCAAGCAGAATGGACATAGTCAAAACAGATGCTGCTCTCAAGTGCAGGCCTTGTCATCCATTATGCATAGGTGACCCAGGCTGGCTGGCACAAGCTGTACTACTCATGCTACCACAGCGACCATCCCATGCTCCTGAGCAACACACACACACACATACACAACATCGCATCAGTACCTGAATACACACACTTGGTCTATCTCAAGATTCTAGAAACCTCCAAGCTCTGTGGGCTCAGCTCCAAGTCAGATTACAATGCTCAAGTTTATAAATCAACTGTTACAAAGTGAATGCTTACCTTCAATTCTCTTTAAAGCTGAAAGGCACATATCCTTCCTTGGAAACTCAAAGGGGTTGTTGCAGGTTCGAATGGTGTCACATTCACATTTCCCATTGATTATATTGCAGCCAGAGATAAGATTTTCATTGCATGGTTCAAAACCAAGCAGCTGATCATCATCCCAGTTCTCATCTGTAAAACAATTACCCACAGAACATTTGCTTGCTACTTCATTCAAAGGCCCGCTTGAGAGTCAAAACACTAAGGGCTCTCATGATGATATTTAACTTTAGCACCTCAATTTGTGAAAGTCAGTTGGATTAAAATTGTACAAAGGAATAAGCTTCAGTGCCTGATAATCAATGAGAAGAACAAAATACAGACATACATGTAGACACTGCATAAGAATATAGTTGTCTGTTCATGATAAAAATCCACTACTACAACTGCTGTGATTTTCCTCAAAAGAAGTAATATTAAACACAGCTTTCTTTTTCCACATTCAACAAAATTGTTACAGTCACATTTACACATCTACAAAATTATTTTTAAGCTACTATTTTTCTTGCAGAGACCAGCTTTGGGTTTAAAATAGTTTTTTAACTTAATACATCAAGGCCGCTTAAAAAAAATTAAAAACAAGACACTGACCAGAGAGCCAAGAAAGATCCAACAGAAGAGATCCGCAGTGCATTTCAGGACAGATTACTAGGGTCAATACTCCCCACAACAAAGATAGTAACAACCTCAACCCTAAAGGTGATGGCTGAGTTAGGGTCAGAGGTTACAACACTCATGCTGAGATCAATTTGTGTGCTCATAATAAATAAGCCACATGTAAAAATCAGGTTTCCTGGAATCCAGCTCAGAAAAACACAAGAAGCAGGCTTTGAGTCTTAGTAATATTCCCCAGAATGGAAAGATCAAGTATCAAGAAACTAGACTACTTCTCTTTACAGATAGATCCCTAGAACACTGTACACATGTTTACCCCTCCTCTTCACATTATCTTGAAAAGATAGATAAAAGTTATCGCATCTGAACTGGGGGCTGACTACTCAATAGGAAACAGATTTCTTTTTTTGGGGGGGGGGAATCTAGTCATGGGGCCTGAACTCTGGGCCTGGGTGCTGTCCCTCAGCTCTTCAGCTCAAGGCTAGTGCTCTACCACTTGAGCCACAGCGCCACTTCCGACTTTTTTCTTTTTTCTTATGTGGTGCTGAGGAATCGAACCCAGGGCCTCAGGCATGCAAGGCAAGCGCTCTACCACTGAGCCACCTTCCCAGCCCAGCAAACAGGTTTCTGATAACCACATCTGGAGAGAATTTTTTAATTGAGAAATCTAAAACCTGTTACACTAAAGCAGGAGGGATACAAGCCATCCTAAGAATGTGTTTTCTGGCTGGGGTGCGCCTCAGTGATAGAGCTCTAGCCTACAGGTGTGAGGCTCTGCAGGAGAACCCCAGCAAGGGGATTTGTTGTCATGGAAGACAGGGTAAACCAATAGCATTCATTTTTATAGTGCTAATGTTTACTTCTGGTATCACGTTCAATGCACAACATAGGCAAGACTGCTTTCTCTTACTGAAATAATTTTCTTGCCCAGGAGTCTTTAAAAGGACTTTAATTACAATACAAAATGCTTCAGGGCAATTCTTTGAGGAGGGAGGAGAGAAAAATCTCTGTTTTTGATTTCAGGAGATCAGGCTCACTTACATGATCAAAGACTGGCTTTGGGTAAAATGATTATCTTTTGGTTTCAAAGTCTGAACAGAAATACAAGTAATCTGTTTTAAAATGTGCTTTCCTACTTAGCCTGGTCCTCAGAAGTAACATGTTTATAATAGGTAAAGAAACAAAATTCCTATCTTGGAGGTAACTAAAATTATTGAAGTATTCTGAAAACAATAAGCTGAACATAGGAAAAATGGTATCTGTTCTTCAGTCATGACAGAATGGTGCAGTGCATCTAAGTGGCTTATAATTTCTGTTTAGTTGACATAACTGTTCCTAGTCCAACTGTTTTAATACAGTTCAGTGAAATTTGTCATGAAGGGCTTCTTGTGCCTGTACATAATAATTCGTAATTCAAAGACAGTTCAACCCTAGTCATTTCAAAACTTCTAAGAAATTCAAGTAATTGTTGAATCACTGGAAAACTGCTTTGTTTTTTCATGTTTCTGAGAAGAAACATTTATTGCTGATTTTTACACATATGTGCAGTATTACCAAATTTAGTTGATTCTACCACTATTGTGTTTTTTCTACAATTAACACTCCCATTATAAGTGGAACTTCCTGAAGTTACCACCCTTCTGAGATACTGCTGAGTCTCCCTGAAATTAGTTTCCCTTCCTGTCCCTCCACTTCATTCCCTAATTTCCAGAGTCATCTTCCTCACAAAACAAACCCATTCAGTGGGTCTCTCATCAAGAAAAAAATGTGCCAGCTTTTTGTTGAATAAGGGGTTCTTCACAATAAGAATGTACCTTTCTCTATAAGCTCTTCTACCAATCCCTCTCATGTTCTAATGCTATAAGCCATAGGACATACAATTGCTACTACACTTTGCTCTCGAAGTACTATTAGTTCTGAATACCTCCTTCCTCTCATAGTTCATACTTGTCTTTGAAGACCTGGACCAATGTTGAGAAGTCTTTCCAGCCACCCCTGGAGAACGAGCTGTTCCATCCTCTACCCTCCTGTAAACATTTGCACAGACTCCTGACCGGTACTGTATTGCTTTCCGTTAAGCTAAACTTCCCCAAAGGTTAGAGTCTTCATAAGCAGAACCAGAATCTTTCTCATCCAATCATGGATTCCTTTTACTCCAACACTTAGTACAGCATCACACACACACACACAAACACAAACACACATACACACACACATTATTGGTATGTCAGTACTGTTGTCTGTGCTTTTTTCTTTTAATAAAGAAGTGCTTTGTTTTAAAAATGTATGTGTAGCATGCACCTCCATGTTTATTGCAGCACTGTTCACAATAGCTAGGATATGGAAACAACCCAGATGCCCCACCACAGATGAATGGATCCAAAAACTGTGGTATGTATACACAATGGAATATTATGCAGCCATTAGAAATGACAAAATAATGACATTTGCAGGAAAATGGATGGAGCTAGAAGAAATCATGTTGAGTGGGGTAAGCCAAGAGCAAAGAGACAAATGGTACATGGTCTCCCTGATAAGTGGATGTTAAATCCAAAATGTTAGGTGATGTGACAAAATTGACAGGACTTAAGAAACAAAGAACTCCCACTCATCTGGTCAAACCACTACTAAATAACCCCATGCTGCTGATCACAGGTATGGTGTATATGTGTACACCGTTATATGTTATAGACCGTGATAGACAATTTGCTCCAGGAAAGTTAGAATGAGTTTGTGACTTTAAATGAGCATCACTATCCCATAATACTGTGAAACTTGGGAAATTATGTAATCACTTAATCACAAAAAAAAAAAAACACCAGAAAACTAGAAGTAGCAATGGCTCAAGTGGTAGAGCATGGGCCTTGAGCTGAATTGCTCAGGGACAGCTCCCAGGCCTACAGCTCAAGCCCCACGACTGACAAAAAAAAAAAAAAAGGGAGAGAGATCTTTCATGCTTTTGTTTCTAACATATTTATAAGATTATGTCTTTGTTGCTTTGTATGTCCCTCCCCCACGGTATAACCCCTGTTTCACTATATATGATGTTGGTATATGTGGAGGGGAAGGGAAAAAACAAATCGTTAAAACAGGGATACAGGAGGACCCATTGCAACAATGAGACGTACAAGTCGTTATGTCGAAAAATGAACTTTACAACTTTGGTGTGGTGGTGGGGAGAATGCGAAGGGATGGGAAGGGGAAACAAAGGAGGAGGCTACAATGCTTGATAAGAAATGTACTCATTATCTTGCCCATGTAACTGTAACCCCTCTGTACAGTATTTTCACAATAAAAAATATGTTTATTAAAAATGTACAAAAAAGAAGTAAATAAAGTAAGAAGAAAGTTACTTTAAAAATGTATGTATAGAATATCATAAGAAACTGTATGTCTCAAGATAATATAAAGAATGTTTAAATAATGCAAATCTTATTTTAAAAGCTCATCATTGAAGCACTGTGTGAAATACATATATTTAAAGATCCACTTGGGCATAAAGGTACATTTTTCACTGAGTACCATCTGTCAATAGTCTCTTTCCCAGTTCAGCTTTAAGACTGCAATTTCTTATCACCTGGCTGCCACCAACAGTCCTTCCAAGAAGCTCGCCTTCAGAGTCAAGCTATTTTCACTGCCAAATGCTTTCCCTCACAACCCCACAGGAGAAGGACTGCCCCAAATGTAGACTAAGAACTGAAAGTCAATTGCCCTGGATGACCTCTCTGGCTCTATACTGTTTTCTGCTTCTTTCTCTGCAGAATCATTGATGGCAGAAGAGACACAGGTAAGACTATTCCCCTGGGAATGCCATCACCACCTTGACCATCCACGTAGCGCCTCTACTTGAAGCCAGCAATATCATATAAGATTGATTCTCTTTCACTGCATGAGAGGAAAACAATTCTCTGGTCCCTCCAAATCAATACTTTGTTTTTCTTCTTGGGGAGTAGTTCTCTTAGCAACAACTCTCTTACAGGATCAAGAACAACATGCTTTTGAGACAAATGCTTTTATAGCTTTCTATTACAGAACATTATACTTTAAAATAATTTAACAAAATATCAGCATGAATTTTTTAAAAATTTAATTAAATTCAATCAAATCATACACTTATCAAATCTGAGTAAATCTAAACCCAAGACAGGTTGAGTATTCCTTTTCCCAATGCTTGGTACCAGAAATGTTTCAAACTTCAGTTTTTTGGGGATTTTTTGGGGGGGTCCGGTTGTGGAGCCTGAACTCTGGGCCTGGGTGCTGTCCCTCAGCTCTTCAGCTCAAGACTAGCGCTCTACCACTTGAGCCACAGCGCCACTTCCTGCTTTTTTTTTTTTGCTTATATGGTGCTGAGGAATCAAACCCAGGGCCTCATGCATGCAAGGCAAGTGCTCTACCACTGAGCCAACTTCCCAGCCCCTAAGAGGTCATATTACATCAATGCTAAAAAAATTTTGGTATCAGAGCATTTCAGATTTCGGATTTAGGGACGTTCAACTTAAAGTACTGGATAGTAGTTG